CATTATTATTGTTAGTTTATACAAAGAATTATTTTTCACTTTTTAGTTTGATATGCTTTAAAAGCGTGTTTTTTAGTTTTTTTAAACTATATTTATTATTTGACCATCTTTCTTATATCTATAATACATCTTGTTCATGTGTTATCGCTTTGTGCCGCCTCCATTACAACTTTCATTATTTCCATCCGTGTTCTTAGTTTGCGGTCATGAGTAATCCGTCGCAATGTTGGCAACAGACTAATCACGAAATGATAATCGTCATCCTCTTTACCAGTGGTTTCCTTTCCTATCTCTTTACTTTTACTTGTTTTGTAAATACTTGTATTCTTAGTAAGTTCTACCGGATTTTTTTCATTTATAGAAAATTCGGGTTCCATTATATTTGTGGAGTTCTCCGAAGTAGCAGCCATGTCCGTAACTTTGTCGTTTTCATCTGCTAATATTATGACTTCGTCTTTAATTTCTATTTCCGGTATTTGAATGTTTGTCGAAGTTTTGTTAATAACAGGTGGCATTCGTTGTGATTGATTGCCAGGTGTGGATTCTGCAAAATGCAAAATTGAGATATACATATGTTAGTCAAAAATAACTTTAATATAAAATAATTATATTGAGTGAAAATAAAATGAATACCTGCTCCATTTTCCAATTGTGAATGCGTCTGTTTGAAGCGAACGTTATCTATACAACGCACATTTTCCCTTATATTACATCTTTTTGGGGTAAGAGACTCATTACATACTTCTATTATATTGGAACTGCTTCTAGATCGTGTTGAGTATTGTGCTGCACTGCTTTTCTTCACTGCACGCCTTTTCCGACGCATTTTCATTTCGTTTCTTGCAGATATATTACTGATTCGAATTTTCGGAAGGTGTGCCCTTGGTACTAAGAGTTCATTTGCAGTATCATGCGGTGGCTAAAATAAAGTATCATTACAAATTTCAATGTCATCTTATATAAGGATAGAAATCCTTCAAAAAAATGTCAGAGCACGTAAAGGTTTGTAGAAAATGACACAAAATGTTTATAAAAAATAAATTAAAATTGAAATTCAACGATGTGCGTACCCCCTTAGAAGCATTGTATCTTATTGTTTCAACCGTCTCATTGTGTATTTTCATTTTAATTGGCCTATGAAGACGGATTGCCGAATTTACTAGTGAAGGTGAATTACCACTTTCTTGATGTTCCTTGTAAGCTGCATTTGAATGATCATGTGCTGTAAAGTTGTTTAATAACGTAAGTTAAATTAATTGAAAGCAGCTTTTATTAGTTACCTGTGGGAAAGATCTGAGTCATAAAATTGCCTGATGTACGACAGACCTTCGAATGTGATCCCCTTGTTTTAATATTTTTTTCATGACATTCTTTTCTTACAATTTCCTTTTCTACTAAATCGGGACATGCTTTGAATTGCCGAGGACGCAAAAATTTCCGAATGAAAGACATATCATCGAAATGCACCCATGATGGTTCAATCCCGTCGACGACTTGTCTCTTCAGATCTCTACGGTATTGATCACGCAAGGACTGCCAGTTTTTACGAACTAGTTCTCCTGCAAAACTATTAATTAAAACTAATAAGGAAGGGCTAAGTTCGGGTGTAACCGAACATTTTATACTCTTGCAACTTGCAAGCATTAAAATAAATATTACATCTTAAGTTATTTTCCTGGTTTTGATATTTATAACTCAAACACTGACCGACATTGTCTATTAAGGTTTGTTAGAAAAACGAAAATAATTTGATGTAGTATTTGGGGATCGGGACAATATCGTCCCGATTTTATTTATTAACTGTTGTCATGCTACATATTAAAAAAAAAACTGTTCTTTGGGTTTCATCAAGATACCTTACATACAATCACCAATCGTATGAAGTAAAGTCAGCTGGATGTTCGAAAATCCTGATGATAATTAAGTATATTGGCGCTCAGGGAAGTATTGACCGGATTTGCTCTCTGTATTTCAATTGAGTATCCCATACATTAACCAGTATTAGAGACGTGTCAAACTGCTATTTTATTTTTATTCAGTATTGTTTGGCATTTTGCAAGAATGTGTTTCGCGCGCTTTGCTCAACTTATGGTCAACATAACCCGCCTACTGAAGGTATGTACTATTACCATCACCATCACTCGTCTGGAGAACCAGCATTCATTATTGGATAGCATTCAAACGAATACACCAATCTAATTGGAAGGTACCCTTTGCTTAGTGCGAGCGCCTGGGCGAAATTATAATTTTCTATCTTAGTGCTTAGTTATAGCGGTTAATGGTGTTTTGGGGGTCTGGCGGCAGACCGATTACGAACTCATAATTTTTTTTCTAAGGAACGCACATATCGAGTTTCATCAACATATTTCAAATTTTATTCAAGTTACAGTTTGCAGAACGAACGGACGAACCGACAGTCACCCGGATTTCAATTTTTCCCGTCATCCGGATCATTTATAACTCTATTCTAAGTCGCTTAGTTCAACCGTTAGGTGGCACAGGTTGCAAGAGTATAAATAACCAATATGATACACAATTAGCTGTTGCAAATACAATAGTATATTAATAAAATTCAAAAGCCTTCATATCTCAAATATTTTGAAAAATCATTTAAGGCGTTCCATGGGTTAAAAAATTAATTTTTTTATTATCTTATTAAATTCTACAATACCTCTGGCAATTGGTCATAAATTTTCAGTTGATCCGAGTAATAGTTTTGGAGATACAGCCTTACAGAACATGTGACGTCGAGGCTAGCTAGGCTAAGTGCGATTTCTAGAGAACTACTCAACCATTTTTTCCATTACAACTATTTGCATAAAAATTTTGCTAAATTTTCAGTGTAATTTTCATTGTCTGCCAATCCAATTTTCAGTTTTTTTCCTTCGTCCAAGTTCTTATTTAAGGTTTTAACTAAAACAACCAAGAAACCTCATGTAACCCCTTAAGAGTGCAAATCTTTGGGCCTAATAAATTCATATAAATTATATTAGTTGGCTGTGTTGTTGTGGAACTTGTGAAAAAAATCGTATGTATGTATTTAATAGCCTTGACAGACGGCAGCGTTAATCCGGTTTAACTGCGCACTTAATCAGATCCAAATTTGTAGGTGACAGACGGCAGCTATGCGAGTTTGAAACTCTCGTAAACAGCTGTACAATATTTTCAATGAAAATGGATAGAAGATAACCATTGAGCTGACAGCCGACCAATTTTCACAAAACCATTTTTTATTACTAAAACATATCAAACTTTTTTAAACTACATCAATCATAAAACTTCTTGTTTTATTATTGCAAATTTCAAAAAAAAAAAAAAGTAAGTGTTGCCTGTTTTTCATTCAGAAGAGATTAAAATTCGCCATTTTAATGCTATAACTCGTTTACCTAGCTAAGTGAGCGTGTTAGCTTCTGCAAACAAAATGTGGTTAAATGAGTTTAGAGTTCACCATCGTTTCTGTTGTCAACATCTATAAATATAATACATGTACATATGCATATCAACATAAATATATCCACCACACATTTGCCTTGCATGCTGCAAGGTGAGAATTTTACCGAACTACTAAGCGCATGCAATGGAATGTAGAGAGAAATCTAGTAGGCATTCTTTTGCCTCTGCGTTGTACGCTTTACTAGCGATAAGAGTATGTTCAGACGAAGACTCTTTTTGCCGCCGAGTTTTTATAGACGAGGAGACGACAAAGGTAGACGAAGGGAAAAGAGTTTTGAAATTTTTTTCATGGTTGCTATAGGACTCGGTGTCAAATGAATATTTTGTAGATTTGAATAGTATTATCTATTTTTATATGTTAAATGCATATAGTATATCTGCAAATATGAATAATATAACAGAAATATTTTAGAAAAGGGTAAATAAGGATACAAATTAGGCAATCAAAAATATCTTGGACACACAAGAATTTGTGAATGTGAAATGAAACAAAATGTAGAAAGTTGTCCCACTAAAGTAGTTGATCTTATGTCACTCGTGTGAACACAATGCCTTACACCAAAAGAGAAAATGCCGATAATGAGCGACAAAATGACTCCACGACTGAGCGCCGTTTAAGTGCATTACATACAATATAATCGCTGTGCGCAAGTGAACATAAAAACATGTAAGCAAAGAAGAAATTGTAAATGTGTTGTAGTTGTATGCACTCTATATCTACAATGATATTTTGTATGAGAGCGGTGCAGTCCCAGCAAGGAGAATCTTAACAACTTTAGGTCTTATGTATGTAAACCTTTTGGTAAGAGTCCAACTAGCTTAAATTTTATATTCTTGTCTCCTTTGTAATTAATTCTACATAAATCTGTAGCTTTTTCAGTAACAAACTAGAAAAAACGTTAACTTCGGTTGCAGCGAAGCTAGATACCCTTCACAGGTGCATTTCTGTTAGTAACTATGTGTTCACTTTTTTATGGAGATTATATTGTTACCTTAAGGAGTAATCCATGCCAAATTTCGTGAAACGACAAATGCCAAAGTTTTCCATACTGGCCCTTGATTCCTATCGTTCGGTTTGTATGGCAGCTGTACGCTATAGTGAGCCGATCTGAATAATTTCTTCTGATATTACATTATTTCTATAAAAAATAACTCATACCAAATTTCGTGAAGATATATCGTCAAATGAGGAAGTTTCCCATGCAAGTGTGATAGTTTTCCATACAAGAATTAGATTCCGATCGTTCAGTTTGTATGGAAGCTTTATGCTATAGTTAATCGATTTGAACAATTTCTTCGGAGATAACATTTTAGCTTTAGAAAATAACCTGTGCCAACTTTTGTGGAAATACATTGTGAAATGTGCAAATTTTCCATACAAGAACTTGATTCCGATCGTTCAGTTTGTATGTCAGCTATATGTTATAGTGGTTCCGACAAATGAGCAGCTTCTTGAAGAGAAAATGACGTTTGCAAAATTTAAATTAGCTTAAAAATTGAGGGACTAATTCGTTTATATACAGACAGACGGACATGGCTAAATCGACTCAGCTCGACATACTGATCATTTATATATATATATGTATATATACTTTATAGGGTCTCCAACCTTTCCTTCTGGGTGTTACAAACTTCGTGACAAGTTTAATATACCCTGCTCAGGGTATAAAAACGTTATTCTATACATATATGCATGTACATTGTATATATTTATGTATTTACATTTGGTTTCAGGATTTTATAACCACACACATACATATAATTTATAACCTGCTCACATTTGTTCGCAAACAATACACTTTCCTGCAGGGTGTAGAAGTCTATTTGCAACGAACCACTAGCTCATAAAGAGTAAAAACATTTGTACATATATGTATATGTGTAGTATGTATGTACAGTCGCAAATACTACTTAACACTCACCCGGTTTACCCAACTCTTTTCCTATTGAGTTCCAGATTGCCGTTTTTTTCGCATAACTGAGGCGGACTTTTTTCGTCTTATCCCATATAATATCATTTTTGTGAACTAATTTAATAAGTTCGGAACGATATTCTCTATTTTCCTCAATATCCATCACTTACAACAAACTTCTTTAATTGCAGAAACGTAAACACTACACTCCATCAGACTGCCTTCAGTCCCACACTGACTCAATGTTACTCACTCGTGCTATGTAAACACTCGTGTCGGTCTGATGAGTATAGCGAGAATGAGAGAGCGAGTTGAGTGAACGTATTTTCGTAAAAACATACATGTCGGAAAATCTCCCATGGTTGTTTATACAAATTTCATACAGTTGCTAGTTGCGAACTTAAAATTATTATAGAATAATTCATTATATTCCATCATATGATATGTAGTTCTTCATTTAAATACTTATTTTATGTATGAATTTTAATTGAACTCGTTTGTGTTAAAACACGTTTTCATTTCATACATCAGTCCGCGTATTTTATCAGCTGGTTGCGTAGGCTACAAACAGTGTTGCATTTTTCCCAATTCAATTTACAATTAGCAACTAAAAATTCCCCTTTTTTAGATACACTTGCAAAGCAAAATAAAATAGGTTGACGGCAAGAAAACTACTGAAAAATTAAGGAAAGATTTTCTAATTGATTTCATTAGTTAATCGACAGAAGCTTCTTGGCTTTGCTAAGAAACATTTAAATAACTCTACTGAATTCTATCAGAAGTTGTTTTTTGCGGGCATAAATAAATTTTGTCTTTTTAGAATTAAAATAAACAGACGGTTTCGAGAAAACAGCTTTCGATGCTAAGAGTATGAAAACGATTGTAAATTAAAAACAAAATAAACAGTAAATAACTCGAAGCAACGATCACTTCATATTATTTGTGTATATTACACTAGCAACATGTAGCCACAGAGTATAATAGTTTTGTTTACCTAACGGTAGTACGTATCATATCAAACCAATCGAGATAGACATAGGGTTATAGACATATATATAAATGATCAGGATGATGGGGAGATCTTTTGAAATCCGGGTGACTGTCTGTCCATCCGTTCTTTCGTGCAAGCTTTAATTTGAGTAAAAATTAAGATTAAGAGAAAAAAGGAAGGCGGAGATAGATGTAATCGGGCCACTGTCACGCCCACATAACGCCATTAGCCGAAAACCCATAAAAAGTAATAACTAAGCACTAAAATAAGTAAGATATGAAACTATTAGTTGGCGCAGGAGATCGCAGCAGCAAGGGGCATCAGAGAGCTGAAAATTTTTAAAAAGTGTACCATCTAATAGGTTTAATGTACATACTTATCTCATAGACCACTAAAGCTAGAAAAACTGAGTTCGCTTAGTAAGAACACTTACCAATCGTGTGAAAGTGGATGAAATCGAATGATAACCCGCGCACTCCCCATATAACGGTACTGTTAAAAACTACTAAAACCGCAATAAATCAATGACCAAATAAGCTAGAGACATTAAATTTTACCCCCGAGATGACATGAGAGAGTTTTATACGAACCGGTGTAAAAATTGGACGATTGGCGTGGTACCGGTAAAATCTCATATCTCAAGACCTGCTTAACGGATTTCATTAAAATTTGCTACATAACAATGGTATGACTGTGTGCAAAATATGGGTTGAATCGGGTCAATAGTCCCCTTCGCTAATATATAACTAATACAGCAACTTTCAAACTTCCAGGTGACTTCATACGGCATATATCTGCCAATAAGTGATGAAAGTGTATCCTTGTGCCTAAAATGGATAAAATTGGGAGAAAACTTGACCTTGGCACCATATGAAAAACATATAACAACCGGATGACTTTATTCCATATCAGCGTTTCCCAACCCGGTACCGGGCCATCAAAATAAAATAAAAATAATAAAAAATAATACCTACTATCGATCGATCGATGCATCGTAATATTCGTAAGCGCAGATCGGTGCGCGCGCCCGCACGTGGCACTCACCGCTGATCATTGTATAAACCTACAAGTAACAAATCCTATCATTTTCCCCATACATACGCAGGCGAAAGTTCATAGAATGACAGAAATTACATTAAGAATGTAATAGAATGAGGGAAGACTCAGGGCAAAAGTCCAGGCAGTTCGTTTGGGTTTCCCAAATATTCTACTACTAAAACGGCCAAATGCCTTAGAAAAGGCACGAATGTGTTGCCGTGTTATGCTATCCAATTTATTACTTTAAGTATGTTTTTGTTAAATTTAACCAGAGAAGGTGCAAATTGAATTCTGTATGATGTTCGATTGGACGGTTAACAGAGCTTATATAATTGTAGCACGGAATTCACCATTCTCTCTGCTATTTAGTAGAAATGAGCACGTTCAAAGGCAGAAATATATGTAAAACGACTGAATTCATGCGAGAATGAATAAAGAGGAATGCTTTGAAGGAAAATATACAAAGTCACACAGGGAATGTAAGAAAGCATTCTCTGAGTCACATATGCGTGATATTGCATCATATGAACCTTTTTTCAGAAAAATTTTAATTTTTTTACAAAATCGTGAAAAATTAAAAATTAAAATATCACGAGAAAGCGTACGATTTTGGATATAGCAGATGACATCGAAAATACAGTCGTAAGCCATCTGAAAATAGGACATTATTTTTCCTTACAATTCGATGAAAGTACAGACATTTCCGATTATGCCAATCTGGTATGTTTTGTACGATATGATTATCATAATACAATTTATGAAGAGTTTTTGTTCTGTAAATCTTTGCCAACACGAACGACCTCCGAATAAATATTCAACTTGATTAATGATTATATCAACAAAAATAACATTGAATGGAATAAGTTTGTGGGATTAAGTAGTGATAGCGCACGAGCAATGTCAAGCATTCGTACTGGACTTTATCCAAGGATAAAAGCCATAGCTCCGGGATGTGTGTGTACGCACTGTAGCATTCATAGGGAAGCATTAGCGGTCAAAAAGATGCCCTTACCCTTGACAGCAACAATTCAAGAGTTTGCAAAGATCATTAACTTCATAAAATCCCGTCCTCTTAATTCAAGATTGTTCTCTGTTTTGTGCAGAGAAATGGCAAGTGATCACGAACGTCTTCTTTTACACTGTGATGTGCGATAGCTGTCAAGAGGTAATGTCTTTAAAACTCTTATTGAATAAAGGAAGAAATAAAAGTTTTTTTGGAGCAACATCCCCCAACAGCCAGAGATGTAATATTTGAATTCAAGGACAGATTTAATGATGTTAACTGGTGGTAAAAGTTCCTTACATATTAGATATTTTTGAATTTTTCAATAACATGGCATTGCAAGGTAACAATGTAACAATATTTTAAGTGCCAGACAAAGTGGAAGCTACAAGAAAAAAGCTTATAGTGGTTACAACGCGCGGAGACACGAAACATTTAGTAATTTATGTGAAATACAAAAAGAGTACAACATTACTGCATTGCCACAAGACATCTTAACGCAATTTAAAGAACATTTATTAGAGCTGGGGAGGAATCTTCAAGAATATTTTCCTCCAATTGATGGCAACCAAGCTTGGATAAGAAACCCATTTACATTCAAGATAGATTCCGAAACAAATTTGCCAGATTCAGATGTCGATTCGTTGATTGAACTGTCAACTGATACATCACTCAAGGATACATTTGACACAAGACCATTGATTGATTTTTGGTTATCTTGTCGTTAAGAATACACAATACTAGCTCATCAAGCACTGATTTTTTAATGCCTTTTGTGACCACTTACGTTAAAAACAAATATCGAAACAGACTGATAGTGGAACCCGATCTCAGAATAAAACTTTCAGCAATTTCAGCAAACTTGAAGTCTATAATTAAAAATAAGCAACAGTTACATACTTCGTATTAAAAAGTGAGTACCAAAGATACCTAAATATTATAATTTAATATTAATAAAACATTTCTCTTACTATTATTAAACGTGTATTATTTAATATCATGTAACCGTCTTGAGAAACTTGGAGGATGGAGTCATGTGTAAAAGTTCACGCAAGTGAGGAAAGTTCTCTGATCGGCATTCACTTGGGAATGGCCAGTAACGATTCTTTTACATGTGACTCAAGCAGCTCACGACTTCCGGTCTTTGACCAAGTATTATCTGGGTAGCCTAAGAACATCCGTTTGAAGGCGAGCTAAATTGAGAAGGCGAAACATCCCCTGCATAGGGTTTTGCGTTGGGTTTGGGACTCGCCACGTAAAAAAAAAACGCCCCAATGAAAACACAACAACAGCCTCGGATGAGAGACCCCACTTTTGATGACGTCCATGGCAAACGAAATAAGGACTACGAATTGAGGGCATGCACCTGGAATTGGAAAGGTGCCGCTCCCAGCTGGTTGATGTTGACTGGATGACATCACCGCCGTCCACGAAATGCGATGGACGGGACAGGGACAGAGACGAGTAGGTCCTTGTGGCATTTACTACAGTGGCCATATAAAGGAGCGCAAGTTTGGTGTGGGATTTGTGGTGGGAGAGAGACTCCGTCGCCGAGTACTATCATTCACTCCGGTGAATGAACGTCTAGCCATAATCCGCATTAAAGCGAGGTTCTTCAACATAGCGCTGATTTGCGTAAATGCCCCGACGGAAGAGAAGGACGATGTGACCAAAGATGCCCTCTATGAGTGTTTGGAATGCACTTATGCGAGCTGCCCCGCCACGATGTCAAAATCGTGCTTGGCGACTTTAACGCCGGGGTGGGCAAAGAAGGTATCTTTGGGTCTACGGTCGGTAAATTCAGCCTACACGAGGAAACATTACCAAATGGGTTTAGGCCGATTGTCTTCGCCGGGGCCCGAAATATGGTTATCTGTAGTACTAGATTCCAGCACAAGAAGTTACATCAAGCTACCTGGCTGTCTCCGGATCGAAAAAGCACCAACCAGATCGATCACGTTGTGATAGACGGAAGACACGTCTCCAGTGTTTTAGATGTGCGTGCGTTCCGAGGTCCTAACATAGACTCGGACCACTATCTTGTTGCAGCCATGATTCGCACCCGTCTCTGTGCAGCAAAAAACGCACGCCATCAAACACAAGGAAGATTCGACGTCGAGAAGCTGCAATCACAACAGACAGCCGAACGATTTTCTACTCGGCTTGCACTCCTGCCCTCTGAGAG